GTCTTAGTTATGCTACCCCCCACCCGCCCCCATCAAGCCTTTTGACTCTGTCTGGCCAATATTGACACTTTGGGAAAGTTGCCGCTTGCCTAGCACAACAAAATGTATTTGGTTTTGGACGCTGCCACTTAAGTAGCCTCTGGCTGTTTGGGCTTATCAGCCCAGTTGCAGACCCCGCACCCCATTCTGTACAAAACAAAAAAAAAAAAAAAAAACACAAAAAGGAAAATGTGCGACAGTAAAAGCGGCTTATCAGCCCAGCAGCTGTCCCACACCCCGTAGCCATACGAAAATCGCATTAGATACAAGCCCTACACAAGCCCTCTACATCTCCCCCTTCCCGGTCTCGCTTGCAGAGCAATTGTCGCCGTGTTATTTTCACGCCTATTTGAGAATTATGCAGCAACAGAGCGAGCTACATTCCAGCAGGGGCACCGCTAATGAGCTCAGATTTGTGTACCGGCACGACACCAGCTTAGACCCATCTTCCATCTTCCATCTCCCAACTCGAATCTTCAGCTTCAGTCAGCATCTGACAGCCTGGATATAAACAGAGCTCGCGTGCATTTCAAATTATTTGCGCGACTTGCGTATGTAGATACATACATAGATACAGATACATAGATATTTACGCGCAGATACTCGCAGCCTATCGCCGGAGTACACTGAACTTCTGACTCGACTCTTATTTTTGCTGTTGCTGCGTTTGTTCCATAGCTAACTCGAAATGCTGTTTCATATTTGGGGCGTTGCTTGGCTGCTGCCACAAGTTCAAGTATCATGGGTTTTAAACAATGTACACATTTCCATAATCGGGCAAACTCTGAGCACTGAATCTAAGTTAAATCTGAGTGTGTTTTACGGAGCATGCAAAAAGTATGCTAAGTTTTAAAGGGCTACTCAGTGGGCAGATGGGGAAAAGAAAGTTGTTATTTTTGAATTCATTTTAGAATTAATTGAATTTTGTACTATCTCTGTGTACGAAAATATGCAAAGTTGTAAACTCAAGTTTTCAGATGAGTTTATTCATTTTTATTTGTTTTGTTTTTTTATTTGTATTTTTTGTAGCACTATTTGTCATAATTTCCTCGCTTTACTTGTTTTTAATAGTCTTGTCAGACTCATAAAATTGATATAAATATTTTTATACACCGCACACGCCTTGTCCCAGCACAAAGAACAAAACAAATCCACAAACTGGCAACTGTCAAAGTCAGTAAGCCCCGAGAAATGTTTCCCCGTTTTGGAACTTCATTAAAGCGCACGCCCCTAGCAAGAGTTGCAATTGCAGCCGGCACAGGGGCAGGGTCTGGGGGTTGGCTGAGGACAACAAAAAAATTAAAAAACAAGCAAAAAAAAAGCGCAAGGTGGATGATGCAAGAGTATTAAATAACGTAAAGTTACGTAGCAACCCCTAAAACAAAAGTAAACGAAAATTGCATTAAGTGCAGAGTGCAGCATGGCAAATGTATGTGGAGAGGAGGGTGAGAGGGGGCTTGGCTGCAGCAGAGTGTATCAGTGCATTAGGGTGACCATAGTCGTCATCGTTATACGCACAATTGACAGCAGGAAATTTCACACTTGGCCGCAAAACACGTGGCAGGGGGTAGCCGTTGCCGCTGCCGCCTGTAATTGTTATTAAGCGATTACATGATTGATGAGACAGCTGAACACACAGAGAAAGAGAGCGAGAGAAAGAGAAAGAGAGAGAGTAAGAGAGAGAGTGCGACACACGTGCCGGCAATCAGGCAGGCACTCGAAAGCAGTTAAAGGAATTCGCTTAGTCCTTGCCAAAATTTTGCTTATCAGCCGCTTTCGCCACACTTATCGCGAATCTTGACCCGCCACTTAGTTGTCCCAAGCTCAGGCACGCTAATCTAATCACCCGCGCATTCCTCGCATGCCTAAGTAGCCGCCAAGCACTGGGCTTTGAGTGGCTCGTCGATTATCGTGCGGACTCAACAAGTTCGCATTCAGTCGGAAAACGTGTGACACGTGTTTGGCCAAAAAGCAAATCACACTGAAAAGTAAACAGCATAAAACCCGTTTGCCAAAAAGAAAAAAAAAAAACGAAAATGCTTAGAGTATTTAAATCTGATTTGCATTGAGTGGCCAGAGTTGACAAGTTGCGTTTAGCCTTTTAATCTAGCAAGTCGATCAAACTTTGTATTTTTTGTGTGGCTTTTGATTGGCAGCTTGTTATTTTGTGCTGTCGTTTTGATTTGCATTCCTTATAAATGCGAGCTAATTACGTCTAGCAGAGAGCGTATCTGCGATTAGATTGCCTGTGACGTAGACAGCTCAAGTATAGTATGTCCGCAAGGCTGAAAGACACCAAAAACAAAATTACCCAAATTCAGTGCGTGGCCACATAAACTGATTCCAATTTTGTATCGACTTTCGAATGCGCTGTATCTGTATTGGTAAGCTTTCAAGCGCCGCTTCCTGTCCATGCACGGCTGCAAAGCTCTGGCGTGTGCGTGTGACACGTACGTGTAAAAGCTCAGCTCAAGTCGTAACTCCCAGCTGCTCTAGTCGTCAAATGTGCTGTGTTTATCTAGTCGGGTGGTCCTGGCAAACGTTCAGGCACGTCTCTGGCTCAAAACGAAATTCCACAATTGCAGTGAAAACTTATAAAATAGCTGAAATATGTGTGTTCCTCCCAAAAAAAAAAAAAAAGAGTACACCAGGAAAATACAAACAGAACTAAAAACTGTTCAATATGCAGAGCGCATGGTTGTCGTCTATTGCGTCAGACACAATCAGACGCAAGAGGAGTCGCAGACGCTAGCCAAAGGCTCTGAAGACGAAACGTACGAAAAAAAAACTTTACTCAAGTTCATTTGGGCGTCTGCCCCCGGCCCGTTTAGCCGGCTCTGTGCTTCTGTCTGCATACCAAAAAGGTAATTATGAGCCGCATTGTAAAGGGAAACAAAAGTAAGGCACAGACATGCCATAGAAAGAGCCAATATCAAATTACATACATGAGAAATGTGGCATAGAGACAGTCAACAATGAAGATGAATAGAATACGCGTAGAACACAACAACAACAAAAACAACAGCAAGAAAATTGTGGTTTAGCTACGGGTCACATGCCGGCATTAACTGAGCTTTTGTGTATTAGAAACTGGCCTCTGGGTTTCCATTTCGGTTTCAATTCGCCAAGAATTGCGGCGCTAGGGTTGATAAGGTAAACTGTGAGCTAAATATGAGATGGAACAGCTTGATGTCTGTATAAATAGAAATTGAGCTAAGATAACAATTAGAGCTTACAACTAAAATGTTTTATAGGTCTTAAATCTTTGGGAAGAGCTTTACGCCGCATAGCGTGAAATTAAAATGAGCCCAACGTAAGTTTGAATTATTCTAGACTACCAAAAGCTTCAACCTCTCTTAACCGGCTAGACAGTTTAATTAAAAAGCTCAACTAAGCTTTAAGACATTATGAACTCGAGGGAGTAAGGACTGAAGACGATTCCTAAAGCTTAATTCAAAAAACTAGTGAGCTTTAATATGCGTTTGGCTGTAGTGAAAGCTCATGCTTTAAGCTTTAAGAAATATTTGAAACTGATAGCCAAAGCGGCTCAGCTTGTTGCTTTTCTTAATCAAATAAAAAACATTAAAAGTTTTACTGGACTTTTCGTTCTTTGAAGTTTGAGTTGCCTATGTTGAAATTATGCCGAATGCAAGCTAAACATAATTCAAGCTAACAAAAAATACAAGAAAAAAACGACGCACAAGCAGAGCTTCATTTAATTGCTTGGCTAAGCGAAACGAGACTCGGAACCAGATCAGCCGCCCCATCAATGAATTGCGAAAACATTTGAAATTCTCTGGCGATTCGTGGCCATTTGTTTGGTTTTATTTTGAATTGAACTTTTTTATTGTCTGCTGTGAAATTGAAAAATGATGATAAAAATCGCACAAGAGTCACGCGTAAAAAGCCAAAAGGCATTTGATTCAACTTCTGCTCGATTCATTTGCCATATATATACACTATGGTATATATAGTATATATATGTGTTTTTTATTTGGGGACTGCCTACTGTGAGCGCAAAAACGCTTCGGAAATTGGGCCCAGTAATTTGCACATGGCACTGGCCTCTGCTGGCCGGGACTTGGCTTGGGCTGTGGCTCACTCAGGTTTTTCGATGGTCCCTTCTTGTATTGATTTCTTGTGCACTTTCGAGTCGCCTTTGTTGCCATTGTGGCTTGTGCACGATTTTCACTTTTCAAAAGCGGCAGCAAATGTAAAAAAGAACATGAATAAGAACAAGCCCAAGAAACTGAGAACAAGAGACCTTCGTCCAAAGAAACTACCCTTCTTTGGCTCGGGGCAGCTCTCTAAGCTGAAATCAATGACCTTTTGCCTATGCCGCTGCCTCAGTTGCTGCCTCAGTCGCTGCCGCTGCCAAAAGGGATTAGTCAGCGTCGCCTGAAACAAAATATATATGCACTAAAAATATAAGTACGGTATACATCTATATATAGTATATATATGTAAGTGATCCAATCGATTGGCACGACAAAAACAGAAAATAGCAAGAGGCAGAGCAAAAAACGTTTTCTTGACTTTTTCCATAACCATTGACATTGAGCCAAAGCAATGCTTATACTCATGAATACCACTCATGAATACTACACAACTGAATACTACTCAAAGGTAGCAGTTCATCTTTTTGGCTTTCAATAATATTGACGCTTTTGTTTAAAGAGCTCACGATCAGGCAATGAAATGAAATGACTTAATTGTTGTTTTCAGCTTCCCAATCCCAGCCCCGAGACGGAAGTTGTACTCAAAACAAAAAAATAATAAAAAAAAAAAAATAAATACAAAAACAAATCAATAAAATAAATAATAATCATTAATAATCTGTATGAGTTATGCTAATTTTTTTGTACTTTTTTTTTTTGCGTATAACACTTTATTTATAGTAGATATCGTAAGTCTCTCACCCTCTCCAAATGATATTCATCTTGTGTTTTCCTATATTGCAGGTTACTACAGTTCATGCTGCTCAATGTCAGGATTATTTTTATACTGATGGTAAGTAGAAGCTAATCTCACAAATATAACAATATAACAGCTGATGTACAGCTATTCCACATGAATGAAATCTACTGTCACATACTTATAATGGTTGCTTACGTACGTTAGATATGGTATAACAAAAGTTAGCCAAAGAGTTTGTTATACAGTTATACTACAGGAATAAAATCAATTACCATATAAGTATAACAGCTATATAACGTGCGTAACGTATAATATAACAAAAGCTGGCTAAAGAGTTATATGACATAAAAATGTATGTCTATTTAACACTTAAATTACATTCACTAATTACTTTATTAAGAAAATTAACTTCAATCAGGTTTAACAGGGTAACCGAAAGTCGTTCCTTTGTTTCAATTCGATTTATCATTGTGCTTGCACTTTAATTAAATGCCAAGTACCCGAAGATGACTTGGCATATCACAGATTCCACTTGATAATGGGCGTGTTCATATTATTTTATTAAAGATCAGATTGCATAGATTGATTTACGATACGTTGGGGTGTAAATAACTTTTGCATTTCTAATGGCCCTCACTTTTATGAATAGGTATATAAAATTTGAAGAAAAACAATAACAAGCGAGAGCCGCTTAACAGTCTATCAACAGTATGTTAACAAACTGTTATATTTCTGCTGAGATCTATTGTCAATTTATATTTTCATCAAATTTGTTGTGACAATTTTCGTTATTGTTGTCTTCTTTTTCAGCACTCAAAATAATAATTATCATAAAAAAACCCATATTTATATATCAATATGTGTAGTATTTCTTTCCGTTTGATTATTATAACAAGATCGAGTGTGTAATCACAAGTGAAGTGTGCGGAGAGTGTGTTAGTGGCATTAGAGGCATGGAAGCAGCGGGGGGCTGGGGGCATGTGGGGTGTTCGATATCTGAGTGCGTTGTGTGTACATTGGAGTGGCTACGTCTGCGGATCTGCTTGGGCCACTAGCTCAGGGTCTGGTGCGGGCTCTGTTGCATAGCCACTTGAGTCTAGCAACATAGTAATAAAAATAAAAAAATAATAATTATTATTATTATTACACACACTCGCACACACACACACACACACACGCGCGTTAAAGCGTCATTGAACTGTGAAAAAGGTCGCACGTCATTTAAGCAGCCCATCAAAAAGCTGAAACTGAAAACCAAAAACTCAAAAACCGAAAACGAACAACTTTTTATGAGTAGTACAAACAGAAGGTGCCCCCCCCTTTGCCCTACTGCGAGGGGTGCAGTGTGTGGCGAGTGGGGTGTTAAGAGAAACAAACTGACACTGTTTGATTTTGTGTCAACTTGAAGAATGATGAAATGTCTGACAATCAGCTGTAAGAAATAAAAGTTCAAAAATTTCATCAAGTCTCACCAAGTGGCAAGTGACATTTGCCAGTGTAGCAAGGGGCTCGGAAGGTTAGCGTGATAGCCAGGGGCGACTTCAGTCTTAGGTCAATTTGTTTTGGCTTGTGCATTTGCACAGTTTTATCTATCGGTTACCCTATCATTTATGCGCTTAGGCCAGCGACTTATAGATACACATATTTTTAGATATACGACCAAAATAACTGCCAGTACTTGCAACTGTGGCTGTAGTGCCGTGTGGCAAGCCCTTTAATTCCCCCCACCCATAGCTATATAGATATCAAATTATCAATTTTATATACACATATGTTTTGCTGAACGCCTTGTTTTGCTGACTGCGCATATTTTGGGTTCTATATCAATTTGCGATATCAACAATTTTTGCAGCACTCCCCCACACAGCAAAGGTATTTATGCAAAATTGGCTAACAAAAACAAAAAAACGTGCCACTGATAGACAGACACGGCCCAGACACGTGGTGCTTAACAGAGTTGGCAACAGCAGCTAAAGATTTGGCTACTCGCTTTACGGGCGAATAGAGTACATCGTGATTTGATTGATGCTTTGGTTTTGTTGTTTTGTACAAATGATTGCACGATAAGCTCTTTAATTTCCTCAGTAGGCTTATCTACAGAAGTTGGCCATTTGTAAGCTGTTGACAACACAAAGTTTACAAAATTATGTGGAAAATCGTAATATTAAAGTAAATGAAAAAGAATGTGATAGGCCTGTTAATATTTGGCTAAGTGCTTTATCAATATGCTCAATTAGTAACCAATTTGTGCGGCTGCGGCTGCGACCGACCCACAGCAGAGTTGCGGCTACAAAGTGCCGGATTAGTCGACGTTGCATGATTTAAAAAGCAATTTGCCGTGAGCTGCCTTAATACAGCCGCTTTAATGGGCAGGGTTGAGCAGCGGTGTGGGGCGATTCACATGGATGCTCAACTTTGACCATAAAAAGCAAAACCTGGCGGCATTTTGTGTCACATGTGTGCACAGTGGCCCAGGGCCAGGCTCAGGTCTCTCAGGTCTCATAATAAAATGCTGAGCGTATTAATGGAAATTTATGGGCAGGATTAGGCCAGCCGGCTGACCGCAGCTTGTACGGTTTGGGCTTATGTTGTTGTAGAGTATAAATTCAATTTGCAATATTTTGTATACTCTTTACTCAACTCCTTCAATTCTACTTCATTTTTCAGGTAATGCTTGCTCTTGTATCAACAACATGTGCAAAGAAAACGGAATACATCTTAACACTCAAGACCCACAACAATCGGGCGCTGCATATCAATGCGCACGGCCGGGTAACAGCCGAGGATATATCACTGGCACGTAAGTACAGCTATACCTGATATCTTTCATTCACTCTCTCTCTCTCTCTCTCTCTCTCTCTCTCTCTCTCTGATATATATATCTGAAATATATATCTATGATTTATGGTTTGTTTCGGCGCTGTTGTTGTCCATCAATTTTCATTGTTCGAAAGCGCGCGCGCGCCCGCCTCGAGAGCTGGTCAAATGGCATTTAAATTGAATTGGCATTTATTTTGAACTCTGGTGCTGTCTGTGCATATTGTGGGCTTAATTAAATTATTGGTAATTTAATATTTGATTGATGTTGATGTGCTCCGCCATGGGCGCCACGTTTGCGGTTTCATATTAGCCTTCTTCTTTCAATTTATTTGAATTCATGCGATTCTCTGCACACACATACACACCTCCCCCCTCTCACCACTCCACGTGCGGCGCTTGTAATTTGCCGCCCGATCGGCACTCAGTGGGTGAAGTTCAGGAGCACCGCAACGTATCCAGAAATGGGTTGATCTCTACGCGATAGCGACAGCAGTCACAAGCAATAAGCGTGAGAAGCTAACGGGAAACAAAGCCCACTCAATAGATTTAACAAATTGAAAAAAAAAATATATAGAGACTCTTATTATGAATATACAGATACCAATTCAGATACAGATACAGATACAGATACAGATACAGATACAGATACAGATACAGATACAGATACAGATATAGATACATATATACAGATACAGATACAGATACAGATACAGATACAGATACAGATACAGATACAGATACAGATACAGATACAGATACATTTACAGATACAGATACAGATACAGATACAGATACAGCAGATACAGATTAACATTAACAATATACTTAGGAAACACAGACAGATGTATTCTAATAGAATATTATTTATAGAGCAGCTTAAGATATATCGTAGGCAAGTTTAATGTATCGATAGCGCATTCCTATCGCTCACAGCTAATACCAAATATTTTTGGACATTGCGTCACTGATACGGCTAAGGTCACACTGGCCGGCGGCAGGCGCCGAATCAGCGAACCACTTGACCAGTGCAAAGTTCAGAGCGCATAAATCAAGCCAACGAATTGTCCACACGTGAAATTCGATAGAGCAGAAAGATAGAGCTGGGGCGGGGGTGGGGGATGGGCTGAGCTGGGGGTGTGGGCGGAGGCGCCAGTTTCTTTATAAATTTAACGAAACACTTTGTCAGTTTGGTATTTTATCTTATCTCATGGTGGTTGTTGTTGTTTTTCGGTATTGTTGTTGCTTCAGTATTTGGTTCGTTCGAAGGGAATACTTGGGCTTAAGCTCCGCAAGACTTGCCAGACTTAGCTGATTTGATCGATTTGTTTCGATGCGAGGCGTTGCCATACCGAAGGTCTTCTGCATGCAGCGAGCACGTGAAGAGCGCACGCAAGATGCTTGGAGCTTGGAGCTTGGAGGTTTTCAGGGTTAAGCAACTGCCCAAAGAAATGGTGTCCAAGTGAAGAGGTTCAACGACTGTTGTTAGGCTCCATGCATGATTGGCGCAGCTTGATAAGAAGTCAGTCAGTCGGCCGGTAATTGACTGGTTGCTGATTATAGAAGCGAGAGCCTAGCTAACTGAACCCTACCCGGTCTCAATTAGGTTTAGACGAAGAGCCGCTATAAAATCTACGCGCACTTAATTTCATTAAATGTTTGATTCTTGTTTCGTATCGTTAACTTTGCCGCTGCCCCCTGTCTGCTAATCAAACCTTTCATAACTTTATCGAAAACCTTTCAATTAATTGGGTTATCTGGACGCTGAAGTGTGTGGCACCCCTCGTCCCACACTTGCATGCCATATACATATACCCGCAGCTCAACTAGCATTAAATATTTACTTAACTAACAGAAAAACTTTTGTTTGCTTATAATTAATTAAAATTGATTTGTTTCTTCCGATAATGCCCATTGCAGAATCCTTCACAATGGACAGTGTTGGCGATGTACTCAGCGAGGATTTCAAAATCACCATCTATGCCAAGGATGTGGACTACTATTTGTGCTTTGCCCAAGGCAAACTTGTTGGAAAGGTAAGAAATGTGTTTTTGTTTATATCTATTTCTATTTCGTTATTTAATAAATTAAGATTTTATCCATATCTTATATGTTATTGGTAAACGAACAGAATTTCTGATAACATAGAAAAACAAGAACTGCAACTCAATCTATAAAAGAAATTTAATCTTTATAAACTTTTATAATTTAGTCGAAACGTTTCGAAATTCTCTTCTATCATTTGCCTAAGCTTTAACTTTAACTTCTGCTTTCTCTCTCCCTTTACTTGGTTTCCTTTAGAGAAACGTCACAAACGACTGCCACTTCAGAGAGTCAATGGATCATGGCTATTATCAGTATACAAATGCCTACAATCCGGTGCTGCGAGTAGGAATCAAGCGAAACTTTCGCCCGATTGGGCCAAGGGATATGAATAAGTTGCATCGACATACCTGTTTCCTATTCTATCGCGAGAAGGCCGAACATTTCCACAGCAATTTGGCCAATTGGAAAAGCAAGGCGACAACAACAAAGGGAACGACAACAACTAGTAGCACGACAACAACAACTACAACTACAACTACAACGACAACAACAACAACAACGTTGAGCCCAGTGGCAGGGACAAAACGCGCACGTGGCAAGCCGCAGCGTCGCCCGCAGCCAACAGCAGCAACAACAACAACAACAAAAACAAGTATTAATAGCGATAGTTCTTCTAACAACAACAACAATAGCAACAACAGCAACAAAAACAAAAACAAAAACAACAACAACAACAATAGCCTTAAGTCCCACAAGCAAGCCAACAACAATGCGTTGGAAGATGCGCTGCGCGAACAGCAGATCATCAAGCGCAATCAGCAACATCAGCGACGCGTGCAGCATCGCCGCCGGCAGCGGCAACAGCATCGAAAGCAACATGCCAAGGCCGCCGGCGCCATGCTGAAGCCGCAGCCCAAGAATCTGGTCGGGCGTCATCATCACAACAATGCAACGCTGCTGGAGCGTCGTCGACGCCGGCGCCTGCAGCGACGCCGCCAGCAACTGGAAGATCAGCAGCAACAGCAACAGCAGCAACGGGAGCAACATTCCGCCGAGCAGCAGCTGCCAACAGCATCGTCCTCCTCATCGTCCTCCTACACAGCGACAGCGGCGTCGACGGCGCTGACAGCAACCGCTTCGCTGGCGCCCTCGGCCCTCAATTTGTTTGCCATGCTGGCGGCGAGTCAACGCAAGCGCGGACGCCGAAAACGTGAGGCAGCGGCAGCAGCGGCAACGGCGGCAACGAGCGGTGCTGCTGGCATGGATATGCAGCTGGTGGAGACGCCGTCGCAGCAGCAGCAGCAACTGCAACAACTGCAGCAGCAGCAGCAGCAGCAGGAGCAGAAGCAGCAGTCACAGGGTGCGCAGCAGCAACAAAATGAATACTCAAAAGCCTATGTTAATAGTAACTTAAACTTAATGCTAAAACATAAACTAAATGTAGAACTTAATTTAAATAGTAATAGCCCTAATGTTAATAATGCAATACCTGCCTTGCCAAAAAACTACAACTACTTGTACAGTAACGAGCATTATAATATGAATACTAAAAGTAGCACGACTGATTCTAGTAGTTTAGACACTAGCACTAAGTTCGATAGTCCAAATAGCCATAGCAATAGCCATAGCCGTAGCCATAGCCATAGCCATAGCCATAGCCAGGGGGGCAACCTGAGAAGGGGCGTTGTTCAATTCAATTTCAATGAGAACATTGACAATAATCTTAAGCAATTGATAAACGATCGAATTGATAGCAGCAGCAGCAGCAGCAGCAGCGACAGCGAAGACAGCGCAGCTGTAGCAACTGTTGCCGCTGCGACTGCAACAGCAACTGTTGTTGTTGTTGCGCCCAATCGCAATCATATTGTTGAGCATAATATAAGCGACGATAGCCATAGCAACAACAACAACAACAACAACAACAGTAACAATAGCAACAGCAATGACAGCCAGAAAGCAGACAGCAACTACTTCGGACTAGAATTGCAACAACAGCAGCAGCAGCAGGAACAGCAGATACAACAACAACCTAATATTAATAACTATAATGCAAATATTAATGTTGTTTACAATAATCGCAACGATAATAATGCGGCGCTGCAGCCCAATCATAACCATAATAGTAATTATAATGAGCAACTTGCGAATGACGATGAAACGATACGAATTCAAAATAAATATGAAACACATGTAGTACAATACAAACCTGACGTATTCATTTCAAAGCGGTTGCTTTGTGTGGGGGTTGGGATTGGCATTGGACCCGAGCGAGTGCATTTCCTTAATGCAGCAAAGCAGATTGGATTGACCAGGCACATTCTGTGCTGGTCATATTTACTATACTATATTTTTTTAGGATATGCTGGTCCTTGAATTGTGCCAACTTTTTAGTATCTACCAAGACGATTGGAATGGCCTAAACATGCCTTGTCGTGTGACACAGCACATACCAGAATACATACCTAAGGATGCAGCTCGAGTATTATTTTTTAGGACATTTTTCTAAGCACCTAGTTGGAGTTTTGTTGCTTTATTCTAATCATGCCGTGTCGACTAAATGAGGCTGGAATTTCGTATATTGTTTTTAAAGCATTTTTCTTACAACCTAGACTTTTTTTCTTAATCCTAATAATGGCTTGACGCCAAAAATAAGCGTCAGGATACTCAAGGATACGGACAATATAAAAAGGATTCGCCAGGATTCCCAATGATACGGCCAAAATATTTTAATCTTTATTTATTCATTTTCATACGGTTTCCTCGTTAGAAGTCCTTGAATGTCGCCTTGAATGTATGATTTTAAATTTTTTGCTTAGTAGCTAGTTCATTTGCCCCTTATCTTGCCTTGTCGTTCATATTGTATATTTTCTTAAATACATTTTTCTTAGCAGCTAGAACGACTTTCATTCAATTATATATTTGTTTGGCTACTAGGAAATATATATAAATATTCATTAACTTTAATTTAGAACTTTTGGACCATGTCATGCATATTGCGATTTGAATAGCAATCTTTGTCGGCGAAAAACAACAGCTTGGACCTTTTTATAAAAAATTTAAACTCAGTTGACACTTTTTTAAGCTTTTATTCTGATATTAATTTTTATTAAAAATCCCTTTAAATTGTTCTAGTGCGAATGCTGTTAGCTAATAGTACACAAAAGTATGTGATAATAACAATACAGGTTTACAACGAAGTGATATATCTACCCGAAACAGATCGAGCTAGCTCGTATCCTGGCAAATCCATCAAATATCTGCGAGCACACGACCTAGCTAGAGCTACGAGTCGTTTTTATCAACTTTATCGATGAGCATTTCAGCATATGGTTATCAACCAGGAACATGTTTTGCAAACGATCAACTCCGTGGTAAGAATTCAGAGTTAAAAAGAAAGCCTTTGTGAATATTGTTCATGTGCCCTCAGCTTTTAACTTATTTTGTGCTGTACGTTAACAGAGATCATATCTGATCGTAAGGTCATCTGGCAAACCGGAAATATCACTATAGGTGAAGAGCGACTCAACGGAATTCCAATACCAAAATGGGCATAATACGAAAATCGTGTAACAATTGATAAGAATCTCCAACAATGTGACAATGTGTAAATCTCTGTCTATGACCTCAATCTGAGAAGCTTGTCATAAAAAGGCCACAAGTTCGGCCACGCGTGGGTGTACAGGCTCGAGACTTTAGTCGGTTTATCGAGGGAAAACTGTTAATACGATGTGCTGGAATGTTGACACACCGTATAAGTCATAAATAAATATGTAATATTTAATAATAATATATGCAAAGTATACAAGATTTATGGCATGTCCAAAATTAATTACCCAACCACAAAAAAAAATAGATATATATATATATATAAAATAAGATAAAAAAGCGTTTTTTAACTCGACATATGCAAATTGAGCGCAAGTGCGACGAGTGGCCAGCTCGCTGCCAGCCATCAAAATAGATGCCGTTGTTATTGAGATTTATCAAGACCCGCTTCTCGCCTCTGGGCCTCGGTTGACAGATCTGGCCAAAACAAAGGCCAAAAAAACAAGGCGGCGAAAATCCCAAAAAAAAGCGATCTGGCGCCGTCTGCGCGCGAGCTTGAAAACGCCAACACGCCGTCGGCGACGTTCGCTAATGAAATTTTATTATGCGCCAAAAGTAATAATTTATAAATTTGTTTAACAAAATATAAATAAATATGTTAAGCAATCAATTGAAACACACAAATCAGTTGTCAATTGTTGCGGCTACAACAACTAACGATACTCTATAGTAGAGGCGGGCTGTGGTTCGTTTGCGTAACTCCCAACTCTCAGAAGATTTCAACCGTTAGCTCCAATTTGCGCAAAAACTCTCTGAGCCAAAAACTTTCTGAAGCTTCCTATCTAACTTACATGCATTCTGTGTGCTTAAGTTTATTTATTTGATTGGCCATAATATATGCCCACCAATTCCAGAAAAGCCCTAAGAATTACAAATTTGCATAATAATGCTGCTCCGTTTGGCGTCATATACATATATCAACGTAAAATAGCGCTTGGATTTAATTTCAAATTTACGAACATATGAGAAAAAAAAAAATAAATAAATATATGCTTAAATTTTAGATACACTGCAAAAATATTTATCACAAAAGATTGTGTTTTATTCTATTGTGGGAATCCCCGTAATAAATTCAAAATTCTATATAGATACTATGTGTATTTCGTTTGCATATATCTACAAATATTTTTTTAAACTAACAGAATATATAATACATTTTTTTAGCTATATCACACCCCATTTTGTGTATACAGGGTATGCTATAAATATTGAATGGCCCGCGTTTTTTTTTTTTGTTTATTTATTTATTTATTTTTTTTGTTCTTTTGTTATAACCCGAAATCAATAAGTATTCTTTTATTACTTTCTTGTATAAATATACATTTTATTTTTATTTTTTATAGTACATTTTTTTTTTTTTGGTCTTTTTTATTGTTTGTTGACTTTTGGCATAGCTTCGGTCGCTTATAATCCAATCCACGGGGCTCAATGGCGCCTCCGCTTCGCACATTCGATGTGTTCCTCCGAATTTTGTGGATTTTGACGCACATAAGTATTATTATTATAATTATTAGTATTAGTTATTTCCTTTATGTATCTTTTTTCTGCTTTTTGTATGTTTATTAGCCAAATTAGCGCGTCAGGTGAAATTTAAGCAGATTTTGCTTGAGCAGCTGCGTCTCTTTATGGGAAAATGATTAGATCCGCTTACGGTGAGTATTTTGAAATTTTATGCGTTTATTTTTATGACAGTTATTCTAATGAAGAAACATTTTAAGCCGCTGCTTAAATGACGGAAATACCACAGTTCCACTCACAAACATACACACACACAGACACACACACACAAACTCGGCTGTTGCTTCTGTAAACACACAAGCATCTATGTATCTTTGTATCTGCGTACGTGTATCTCTAACTAAGCCAGTATCTGAGATCGCTTCGTGTTGACTTTTTACCCATTTTTCAAGTGCAGCTTACATCGGGATTTGCGGTTTGTATGTCGACAGCAGACATTACGGCGCATTAAATGCGGCTTATTTTAATTGTTGTAAATTAAATAAACTTGCATAGAAATGTGCTAAAGATGTTGTTGTTATTTAAATAAAGAAGAATAACTTAAACCATTTCTGACAGAAAAAATCAAAGTTATAAAAAATTATTGTTTGAAGTAGTAATTTAAGCAATTGAAGGAATTTGCGAAAAAGAAAATCTAACATGAATATAGCAGAAACAAGCATACAAAATTAATTAAATCAAAACAATATTAAAACATTAGAGGTCAATAATAAAAGGATGTAAGGATATAAGTATATAAAACAAATGACTGAAATGAAAATGCCTACGTACAAAAAGTAATCCAAAAAAAAATTTGGGGTTTAATTATACTTTTAAAAGTTGATTTGACTATTATGAGAATAATCGTAAATATAACAAAATAATAATAATAAATAATTGAAAAAAAAACAATAAATAGAAAATTGAGGCTTTAATAACATTAATATGTGAAAAAAAAGAAGTATACAAAATAAACTGTTAAATATAAAACTAAGTAATAAATTTATGTGTGAAAGCATTTTGCTGAATAATAACAAAAAATAATAATGCTAAATACAAAACTGTGTCAATTAAAAAAAAGCAAATAAATAAAAAATATGGGTTTAAATAATATTTCTAAAATTAGAATTCATATATAAATCTACGTATATATCAGCGCTGGAATTAGATTCTAACGGAAGGCAAGCGTAGCGCAGTTAACAGCAGTTCGCACCACTGGCGAAACCACCAAGTGCCAACCACAAGCCAGCAGAGTAGTTGACAATTTGCCAAGAAGTGCGTCACATCATTGCGCTGTCTCTAGTATGCCGATTTATAGCAGCTATAAGGAATATTTATAGCGTACCGCAAATTCCAAATTAATGATGACCGAACGAGTTGCCGATGGTCGATTATGAAGTGGTTTTTTGGCGACGTTTAAACGGCGCCGTGTTTATACTTAAAGAAAAAAGTGTGATTTTATAGTGCAGCTCAAATCTGAATAACAGCCGAAAAATAAATGTATATACACACATATATAAATATGTGTATTGTATATATAAAATGCCAGCGATCTTAATGGCATCATTAAAAATGACCGAAAACAGCGCAGATTAACCCATGACGGCATCAAAGATACTTTACGACTTCGCGCCTTCGCATCGCAACCTATTTATATTTCTACTACTTTTTATTGTATATTTTTTTAATTTCATTTTTATTTTATATTTAAGGTTTGCTTGTGTGTATTTGAAACCGGTTCACAGTTCGCATCCCGGCGAACGGTTCAAAATTGAAAACTGACGCGCACTCAATTAAGTTTATTGCATTGCAAATCATGTACGTAGCCCATTTTTATGACATCCAATGCCAGATTGTGCATGTGTGTGTGTTTGCCGCGAGGTGTCAAGATGATTTGTCAATTTGCGGCCACGCCCAACGCCCAGATGCGGCAACGGCCGTTAAATGCAAACAGTTAGAATGTATCTGTAAGTACGCTTTTTATGTATCTGCGATGCTCTTCGGCAACTTGTTGCACTTGATTTTTTATGACCGTGCACATTAAAAATGATGGAATGCCAGCTGCCAGGCCAGCTCGCCGGCTGTTAATGACACCAAAAACCAAATGCAGCAACAACAACAACAAAAAGAAAAACAACAACAGCAGCATGTTGTGCGGGTGTTTGCCAGGGTCAAGCATAGCTCCTACCTCCTCGCTTGCCGCTGCGCAGAGCTCATTTAGCAACTACAAACTGGGACTTCATCAGCGTCTCCGACCCTATTCGTTGTACCGACTACTCATCAATAATTAACCGCAGGTTAACCTTTCCGTTGTAGCTGTTGTTCCTTTAGCGGATTTCTTGCACCTTGCCTCTCGAGTGGCGCGTACCTACTACAACTACTAACTGCCTTGTTCAAACAATCCCAACAACTGTGAGTGTTGCCTCGTCAACAACGGCTCAACTCTTGCACTTCCCGCAATGGGTACTCAACATGCAGTTTTTCGTTTTGCAATAACGATTTTAACACCTTTCAAAATGGGTCGCACCAATAATATTTGGGCTACATATTATAATATTGATAATAATAATTATGAAAATAATGATAAAGATAATGATAATGATAAGGA